ACACATTGGATAACGGCTAGGTCCTTAGAGGATTCTTTGATAATCACTATAGAATTTTAAAGCATCAATAAACACATTGGATAACGGCTAGGTCCTTAGAGGATTCTTTGATAATCACTATAGAATTTTAAAGCATCAATAAACACATTGGATAACGGCTAGGTTCTTTGATAATCACTATAGAATTTTAAAGCATCAATAAACACATTGGATAACGGCTAGGTCCTTAGAGGATTCTTTGATAATCACTATAGAATTTTAAAGCATCAATAAACACATTAGATAATGGCTAGGTCCTTAGAGGATTCTTTGATAATCACTATAGAATTTTAAAGCATCAATAAACACATTGAATAACGGCTAGGTCCTTAGAGGATTCTTTGATAATCACTATAGAATTTTAAAGCATCAATAAACACATTGGATAACATCCTGATTGGGTCGCTGCTTCGCACGAAACAGGTAGCGCCAGCTTCTGGCCGTTTAATAGAATATATAACGAAAGCTCATGTTTTATATACACGATTATAGGTAACACACGTATATTACAACTATAAAATAATAAGCCTATGAGACATGTACGGTTGTTCACCATTATTTAATCAAGTGTTGACCTAAGAATCATATATCAGAGAAATACCTTAGGTAAAATGAAAAACTATATTCATGTATAACGTTTCAGTTGTCTCTGACTCACTACAGTGAACCTCTGTTCATATAGGATTTGAAGAATATGTAGAATTGATACTACTAACTCATTCTTTTGAATTGATCAGGGAACAACCTGTTTAAAATAATAAACATGAAGTCAAAGTTATCATTCGTTTCACCAGGTGAAACTGTGTCATCTCTTGAACGTCATAATTAATTCGTAAGGTAGAGTAGTTTGGCCAGCTTATAATATACCTCGCTATCCAGGGTTGCAGAAGTTATCAACTTAATCACCTACGTATGTTTGTTTGTAAAAAAAAACGTGAAAGTTTTTAAGATATTAAATGGAAAAAAAAAGTTTTAGAAAAATATATATTACACGAGTCAGTCCATTACGAAATCTCAGTCTGAGTTTTTCGTTTTGTTTTTTGTACAAATGCAAATAGATGTTCAGATAGAGTTTGTTACTACTAAAAGTTCAGTTCAATCTAAAACTTCTGGCACTGAACGAAATGCCTCCTGAACAGCGACATGTGGCAGACAAATCCGTCGTGGATTAACTAGAATAAAATAGTAGAAAACATGTGCATTTAAAGGTCATTTCATTTCTTAGGCATAATAACGGATATTTGGAGACTAATTATTCCATATATATAAACCTTATCCTGCAGTTTTATAAACTTTACTATCTTGACGATTACGCTTTTTTAAATAGTTTGATCACATTTATAAAATGTATAATTTTTTAGACAGTTTATCATGGCGGCTGGTAACAGTAATGTGATAGTAAAAGAGCAGGCTCAATAATTTGATAAAAATGTTTAAAAATTATTTATCATCATGTAATCTATCCTCAACTCGTGTATGTTTGATATTAATTCCTGTTGACTTCGTATTTAATCTGTTGTGATATCCTACAGGAGAGTAAGTGAAGTGAGTCACCTATTAATTCCAATTGACTTCGTGTATAATCTGTTGTGTTATCCTACAGAAGAGTAGGTGAAGTAAGTCACCTATTAATTCCTGTTGACTTCGTATTTAATCTGTTGTAATATCCTACAGAAGAGTAAGTGAAGTAAATCACCTATTAATTCCCGTTGACTTCGTGTATAATCTGTTGTGTTATCCTACAGAAGAGTAGGTGAAGTAAGTCACCTATTAATTCCTGTTGACTTCGTATTTAATCTGTTGTTATATCCTACAGAATAGTAAGTGAAGTAAGTCACCTATTAATTCCCGTTGACTTCATGTATAATCTGTTGTGTTATCCTACAGAATAGTAAGTGAAGTAAGTCATTTAATGGATTTGAAAAGTGCTGATGTACTTTTCGTATACAGTTTAAAGCATAACCACTAGATAGGAATTCTCATTACGCAGAAAAAGAGGCTATTAGGGACATCAACAGATTTAATACCCTTTTTACAAACTTACCCACAGTTCAGTTAGATTATGTATATAATTTGTTTTGTTGTTGTTCTATTAATTAAGTCTGCAAAAAAAGCATCAATTATTTTGTAGTAGTATTAGAATAAATCCAGTCGGGATCCAAGCATTTTTCAGTGGCAGTACTTACTGTAAGATAATAACTAGATAATTTCAAAAAGTAGCTATTTTACAAGCTGCACAAGTATAGATGATTGCATGTGATTATTATTATTATTGATTATGATCGGTTTAATACCAATTTAATATTTCTGGCATTCAAGAAGACGCATAATCGGACTAAGTCTATTCTACTCTTCATTACAAGCCTTACAAAGGCAATCCACCATTTGTAATTCTAATTTCATTCGTCTTCTCAGGATAAGAAGGCACAGAATTCCCTGGTTGCAGCAGCGGTGGTTGGACAGGGATGTACTAATAACACCTCCATCGTCTCTAGCTTCCATGTGAACTTAATACCAACTTGGTCGTATCGCTGTAATCCTTATCATTCATTCGAGACCCCGATATAATGTAGAAGTTGGTTTTGCAGAAACTTGCTGCCATTTTAATTGCGTGTCGAAGTGATCTTTGTCGTTCCGCGATCACGCTAAAAATGACTTTAAATCACGTGGTTATTGATTAACTGTCATATAAACGTATATAATTAAATAATATTCCACCTGAAGTAACCATCCTCTTCTTATCCTTCGCCTGTTAATCATATAGACTCAAGCATTGATTCATACCCGTCCAGAAGTCACTCTGGCTGAACTTACGAAGTTGGGTCTTGAGCTTCATCTCAAGCAAGAAGTATCACTCTCGACAATATTCCCAAGAAGTATTCATCTCAAGCAAGAAGTATCACTCTCGACAATATTCCCAAGAAGTATTCATCTCAAGCAAGAAGTATCACTCTCGACAATATTCCCAAGTAGTATTCATCTCAAGCAAGAAGTATCACTCTCGACAATATT